ATAATTTTTAATGATTTTAAAGTTTCAGGGGATTTTTAAGGGTAATTTTAATTGATCGGCCTGTTTAAATATTTCTTTTTAATTCGGCTTTTAATTATTGTATTTGTATTGTAGTTTTTATGAGGCTGTTAGCCGCCCTGAGTCCCATGAGGAGAAGGGCGGGGTATAAATTAAATTATAAATAAATAAATAAATAAACTTTATATATTTAAAGAAAGGAGTTTTGCCAACTCTGAAAAACCTACCTGAAAAACCAAAAATAGAACCTTAAGCTTTTTACATGCATCATTGATAACATCAGCATCTTTTGACCAAGGATTGTTCTCTAGCAGCAACGCAGTGGAATTCTCTCAAGGGCAACACATGGAATGATTTGCTTGTAGTAGTCAAGGATATGAGCAGTTAAGAAACTGGGCTTGTCAGCTGTAAAGCCAACAGCTTGGGTTTGAGACCCTAGTACCACACAACTGGGTGAGCTCCCTTCCTTTCTCCAGCTCCTGCCAAACTAGCAATTTGAAAGCATGCAAATGCAAGCAGATAAATAAGTACCACTTCAGTGGGAAGGTAACAGTGTTCCATGATGTCATGTTGGCCACATGACCATGGAAATGTCTCCAGACATTACCACTCAATGGCCTTGAAATGGAGATGAGCACCACCTCCTATTGTCAGCAATGACTAGTGAAATAAAATCTGCAGGGACTCCTTTACCTTTACTCAAAGATATTCCACTAAAGAATGTGGAAAATAGAGCAAGTCATTCCTGGTATATTGTCAATAGCAACTTAAAAAAATCAAAGTCCTACTATATATGAGGACTATATACTGTAAGCAAAGGAGAGGATGTAGTACCCAATTTGTTCCAGATAATCTTTTAAATAAAAAAGTAAGCAAATAAATAGGAAGCTGATATTATGAAAGCCAAACACCAACTTTGTTTCATTTATTCATTGTTACATGAATGTCCTATTATGATTCCACTGGGATGGTAATAAACATTCATTGTTACAATCACCAGATTGTAGAGAACTGTTTGACTGTGTCTCAGTCCATTTCCTAAAATTAAGACTATGCTTAATTTATTAAGTTATTATGACACTGTATAGGGGAAGCTACAATAGACAGTGGCAGAATTCCCTGGATGGTATGGTTCAAATTAGGAATAGAATAGAATAGAATAGAATAGAATAGCAGAGAATAGAAACAGAAACAGAAACGAAACCTTGGAGATATTCTAGTCCAGCCCCCTGCTTGAGCAGGAGAACCTATACCATCTCAGACAAGTGACTGTCCAGTCTCTTCTTAAAAACCTCCAGTGATGGAGCGCCCACAATTTCTGAAGGCAAGCTGTTCCTCTGATTAATTGTCCTCACTGTTAGGAAGTTTCTCCTTAATTCCAGGTTGCTTCTTTCTTTGGTCAGTTTCCAACCATTGTTTCTTGTCCTGCCCTCTGCTGCTTTGGAGAATAGTTTGACCCCCCTCTTCTTTGTGGCAGCCCTTCAAATACTGGAATACTGCTATCATGTCGCCCCTGTTTCTTTTTTTCTTTAGACTAGGCAAACCCAAGTCTTGCAGCCGTTCTTCATATGTTTTAGTCTCTAGGCCTTAGATCATTTTAGTTGCTCTTCTCTGAACTTTTTCTAATGTCTCAACATCTTTTTTGTAGTATGGTGACCAAAATTGGTTGCAATATTCCAGGTGTGGTCTTACTAGGGTTTTATAAAGCAGCACTAATACTTCGCGTGATCTTGATTCTGTGCCTCTGTTTATACAACCCAGGATTGTATTAGCTTTTTTGGCGGCGGCTGCACACTACTGGCTCATAGTCAAGTGGTCATCCACTAGGACTTCAAGGTCCTTCTCACAGTTGCTGTTTTTGAGCCAGGTCTCGCCTAGTCTGTACTTAAACCTTTGATTTTTCCTGCCTAAATGTAAAACTTTGCTTTTCTCTACATTAAAACTCATTTTGTTGGATAGGGCCCATTGTTCAACTTTGTCAAGATCTTTTTTGGATCCTGAGCTTGTCTTCTGGGGTGTTGGCTATTCCTGCCAGTTTAGTGTCATCTGCAAATTTGATGAGCTTCCCTTCTATTTCCTCATCTAAGTCATTAATGAAAATGTTGAAGAGTACTGGGCCTAAGACGGAGCCTTGTGGTATCCCACTGCTTACCTCTCTCCATGTGGATACAGTACTATTGAGCACTACTTGCTGAGTACAGTTTGTCAGCCAGCTACAGGTCCATCTGATGGTGTTGCTGTCTATCCCACCTTTTTCTAACTTACTAAGCAGTAGGTTGTGGTCTACTTTGTCAAATGCCTTATTGAAGTCTAAGTATACTATGTCCACAGCGTTCCGCTGGTCTACTAATCTAGTCACTTTATCAAAGAACGAAATGAGATTGGTTTGGCATGATCTGTTTTTGAGGGTGTGAGGGTGTTAGTAATTTTAAAAGTTTATTTTAAAATCTTTCATGTTGCCTTTCTAGTCAAAGGTAGTAGAAAAGCAATATATAAGTAGAACTTCCAAAGATTCATAACCATTATGTTACATCTAACACAACCCAAAGGGTTTATATTTGATAGATTGCTTCTTTGTTAATCTAATTCTGTCCCCTCGCTTATTATGTGGCCATATTTTCTACTTTTCATATATGCAGGAACCTACTGGCATTGAATATCCACTTACAGATCCAGCAAGTACCATTACAACCATAGTAGGACCCTGCGCATTCAGCATCCCTCTTCCTATCCGTCAGAAGCTTTGCAGTAGCCTAGATGCTCCTCAAACAAGAGGCCATGATTGGCGGATGTTGGCCCACAAATTAAAACTGGACAGGTAAGCAAGCATATTGTCAACCGTAAATTTAACATTAGTTGAGTTACTTTTTTAATTATGCTAGCAGTGCACTGCTGATCCTTCTGAAACTAGTAACAGAGAGTTACCATTGAAATATGCTCTTCAAAAAGTTTCTTACAGAGAAGTTTGTACCAATAACCATATGCAAGGAGTAAGTCGCATAATGGAATATGGTCTATGGCAACAATTGTCTCAATCGACACTGGGAATGCCATCCAAATTATAACTGAGGACTTGGTATACCAAATGGTCTAATCTTTTAATCCCAAATAGTAAAATTAATACGTTAAAATATAACTGCTGGGCATTATTTTGGTATTTTTCTCTACGCATCCCATACACACACACCAGAACAGAAAGCACTCTGTGAAAGTTGTAATTGTGTTCTGTGCCCTTTAATATGTGTAGCCTGTGACAATTGAAGGCTCATTGATAGCCTCTACTGTAGTACATTTTAATTATATTCTGCTGATCAGAAAAAAAAATCATATTAAAAAAAGATGGTTCATTTTCTTCTTTAATGCATATCACTCTTTGAGTGACCACTATTATTTTATAACAAAGCTTCAGATCAAACAGTAGGGAAGAACATAATATTCTGGACTGCTAATAAATGACAGTTGAAGGGAAGAAGGACACAATGCCCTTATTAACATGGTATACCTGGAGACAGCAGAAGGACATGCAGAAATAATGCCTGTGTTCCAGGCGGCTTATTTTATACACTTATTAATTACAAATGCTTCTGTATCCTTCACTTATATGATTCTCACCTATATATAGCATACTGTATATATTTTAATGCGTTACAATAATTTCAAAATTATCAGACATATCAGATGCAATAATAATAAATAATATTGGCATACATTCAAAATAATATAATAAATACATAACATCGAGCATTTATCTTAATCAAGTACATAATTCTTTATCTTATCAGTCTCCAAATATACAGTACATCTTAAAAGCCAAGTTTTTAGAACCTTCCTAAATATTAAGAATTGGGGTATGGTTCTTCCATATGTTGAGAGGAACGGAATGGAGCCCCCACAAAGACCACACTCCCCTCTGAATTCCTATTTGTTGTTCCTCCCAAGTGTAGAGACTCCCAAACTTGATTTTGGATAGGTAGATTCAATTTCGAGTTCTCAAAGATAGATGAGCCACAAACCAGATAGAGCTTTAAAGGTGATCATCAAAATTTACCTTGAATTGCATTCAGAATACAACATCCAACAAAACTCCTGAATAGTGGTGTTGTATTACATTACCAAATTTCCCAATTAATATGTAGACCACTTTATTTTGTACCAGTTTTAGTTTGTGGTTGGTTTTCAAAACCAATCTACTCATGAGGTGACAAGGGCATAAGTAACTGAACCAGCTCATTTTGCTCCAGGAACAGTTGCAACTGGCCCCCTTGCCAAAAGATAGCAAAGGTCCTCCTAGCCACTGCTTCCATCTGCTTGCCAGCAGAAGATGACCGTCAAGGACCAGCCCCAGATTGCACACAACTCTTTCTGGACAAGCACAGTCTTGTCTCAAGCTAAAGTAGATATTGTCCCAGCTTTCAATCCATTTAGTAATGTTGAGTTTCAATTTGTTTCTCTCCATCCAGTCTCTAGGTAACAGAACAAGATTTAAGCTGAATCAGCCACATGACTGGGATAGAGATATATAGCCTACATATTACATGAATTTCCCCTGCAGCTTCATGTAACATCAAGGACCCATTAGACACGCCGTACTAGAATACCTGAGAGCTCCATCTGTCCTTTGCCCCAGTGTCCATACTCACTGGGAAACTCCACAAGTACCATTATGAAACCCTAGTAGATCCATCAAATGTCTGGAGGGATCTAATTGACCAATCTCCCTTCAAAGTTTGTATACCCCCTCAGTCAACTCTACAGTCATGAGAAAGTCCATAATAAGAGCATAGTTCTTATATCCTCCACTAACAAATCACCTCAGGTGTCCTGGAATATAAATAATGTTTAATATGTGCCTCCTAGTATTGCCAGGCTGGCAATGACTTAAGATGAGTCCTTGGTTGTAATGGTGGTCATGAAACCTTAAGCCCCTGAGAACCCTCAGAGGTTAGAGATGATAAACTTGAATATCAACCTAGTCATCTCAATCCCCAACCCATATGAAAACATGGGCAAAGTGATGCTACGGTAGAGGTGAGAGGAAGCAAAAGCAACAACATGTCCATCCGGTCCTGTTACCTATCAGACAATCTTGTCTTTGCAGCATTTTGTTGCTGCCCCCACATATAAATCACTGCACAGTAGCTCCTGGCAATAATACTGATAAAGTACTCCATCTATTATAGTCTCCAATATCTAATGGGATTAGAAACCATGCCTAATAATTTGAGGACTGCTCACCTCTGATCTTTTACATGGAGCAAAATATAAGATATTTTATATTTTGCTCCATGTAAATTATGTTTATATCTTATATATGAGATATAAGCAAAAATATAGCAAAGAGTACAGTTTTAATAGCAGCTGATTTCTCACTGCAGGTACCTCAATTATTTTGCTACAAAATCAAGTCCCACCGGTGTGATCTTAGACCTTTGGGAAGCTCAAAATTTTCCCGATGGAAATTTGAGCATGCTGGCCACCGTCCTTGAAGAGATGGGAAGACACGAGACAGTGGTTTCATTGGCAGCAGAAGAAAAGTACTGAACTGACCTTGGAATGAGAATGAAGGAATGTTCACCATCATGTCAGCTGTGACAAACACAAACCAAGCACCCCCAAACCAATGTGTTTCATAGCAAGAGGCATTCCAGAGGGACAAGACATAGAATCCTGCCTTTTCACATGCATCCTTTTTGTATATTATCACAGGATTTGAAAGAAATCATGCAAAGTTGTTACCTTTATAATATAATTCAACCTAACATTCCTCTCAGCTTGGCTGTACACTGCTTAGTGCAGGATTTTACAGTTTCCTAGGAAACGCTTTTTATTGCTATCCAGATATATGGATAAACTTTCTTAACAATCCCAGTTTCTATGAACGTTGTTTACATCAAATCCTGGGCAGCAGGATGGAAATGACTGTCCATGGCTATCTTTTTATATATTATTTTTCTTCTTTTGTTGAAAGCCATTCTACACCAAGCTGTGGACAAAGCAGGGTTGTGGCTATTTTGTGATAAATCAGTCTCCAACACACATTTCAGACAATTTCATAATTGCAAATCTGCCCATTAGATGTCTTAAAATAACCTACCTATTCTAAGATTGAGTTAAGAGAGAATTCTAAACGTGCAACTGGCAAGAAAAATAATCTGAAAGCTGATCAGGTATGCATGTACCCTCTCTACCTTCACCAAGGTAGCTTGTGTCTCTTGGTGACTTCAACTGCAGGGATTCCCCCTCCTCCTCACACACCCCCAGCTTACAACATGCCCTGCCTTCATCTTTAAAGTGTATGTATGAGTGAGAGAGAGAGAGAGAGAGAGAGAGAGAGAGAGAGAGAGAGAGAGAGAGAGACTCAGTTTGGTGTCCTTTGAGACAAAGAATCCTCCCTAAAAAGAAAAAGAAAAAAAGTTGCTTGTACAATGTCTGTAACTGAATAGTATCTAGTATAAATAATATTATATTTCTTTTAGTAGTAGTATTTTTGTTTACCAAAATTATCTACAGCATTAACCATTTGAGCAATGGCAGCACCCTCCCTGGAAGCTGATGATGGCTGCCATGGGCCTTTAAGAGGTAGATTCTTCCCCCTTTTCTCCTGGCCCCGGAGCTCCCCCCCTGCCCCCCTCCCAATCAATTTCAGTGAACTGGTGCATGAATTACTATCATGCGATACACTTTCTCCTGACAAGTTTTCTTTTACAGATGGGTAACAGTGCATTCATCTTGATAAGAGAATTCGGCCTAGATGGATTATTTTACACAAACAAGATGTTTCACAAGAAACACTGCATGTTGCCCTTGTTTATTTAGTAGGTTTGACACTAAAGATGCCTTTTCTCTTTGCTGTAAGCCATCAAAACGTCATGCATGTCCATGGGACCTTGATTAATTTTTTGGTGTCTCAATATTAACAAACAATCTGTTCTATGCATATATGCTCCATATTGCTATTCTTTTAGAGAGAAATGTTCCTCCAGATACTGGTTTTTATTCAAAGATTTTGTGCAAGTAATTGCAAAGTTTGAAGCTAAAGGATATGATAATTTAATTTGTGTGTTTCAGATTTATTGTTGAGAATAGAAACATCTATGCATTGTTGAGTTTAAAGTACTTGAGTTGGGTCCTGTTTTACATCTGTGGTGTCTTGGAGAGGTTTTGATGGCCTATTAGCAAATGAAACTGGTAATTGTTCAGGCTCATACAAAACTTTGGTACATTTTTCTGTTCCAAAAACAATATTATGGCATTTTGTTTCTAGCCTTCCCTTTCATTTTTCTCCCTTCCCATCTTAAAAAATGTTATTTTGCCATCTTCACTTGCTTAAGATTCTGTATACTGTGTGTATGTGCTTGTAATATTTCCTGTGAAGGTTCTCAGATCTGCATTTCTAAAAGTAACCATGGAAATACTGTTGGTTAGCAGGAAAGGTGAATTTTGCCTGACCTTTTCTTCATTTTGACATTTCCACAAAGTTTTATTATCCATCCAGTGACTATGCTTTTATTAAACACAGAGCACCATTCATAAAACATTCCATTAGGAAACTCAGACATTCGTCTTTCAGTAATCAGAAGCAGTAACAGGTTTTGATCAAAGTTAATGTGGGTTGTGTTTTTAAAATGTAGTTAACATTTGGTCATGGAACGTCCTAGTTGGGCTTTAAAAATAACTTTTGATCTGGTACAGTTGCCTTCTTGTGTTCATTCAGGTTCTTCAAAAGTTAAATGCAACAACCATCGAATTTAGATGATCTCACTTCTAATCTCCCTTTCACACATCTGTCTATCTGTAGCTATTTAGCTATCATATATCTATATCTATCCATCTATCATCTATGTCTATCATCTGCCTATCTATATCTGTCTATCCATATGTCATCTATATCCTCTATCTCTTATCTATCCCTGCCTATATCTATCTAGCATTTATCTCTATCCATCATCAATCTCTATTAGACATCTTCTGTCTGTCTATCTATCTCTGTCATCTGTCTAGTTTCAGTTTTGCTATCATTGTCTAACAATCCTGTCAAACATATTCATTAATAAATGATCTGTCTGATTTTTTTTAAAAGTACCCATACAAAAAAATAGCTATCATGTGAAATGAGGTAGGTCTGATACCATACAGGTGCAGAGAAAAAAGTGGATATCTAAAAGAGGCTGATGCAGCCACAGTTTTCTCTCTCTGCCTAGACATTTCATCTAACAAACCAGAGGGTTATTAAAAGGAAGGCTTATCATTTTAAAACATACACATACTTTCATTAGCTGGTCTAATTTTTTTAATTGGACCATTATCAAGAATTGGCAAGATGGTGCCTATTAGCTGAAACCTCAAATAAAAAAATAAAACTTGCCAGTTTTTAACAAATTTTTAACCAATTCTCTCAAGATCTACAATGTTTTTGCATTTTTATTTTTAAAATGTTTATTTATACTTTTTTAAAAATAGTAATACCACACAAATTTTAAACCATGATAAAGTGTCTGAAAAGTCATTTTTTGCAGTCAGCTTCAGATACAGTACATGCAATGAATATTAAATATACACAACACTCTGTCTGTAAATTTGAAAAGACAAACAACATGTTCAATATTTATGTGAAGCCGCTGGGAGAGATCATTCGAGGCTTTGGGGTGGAGTTCCATCAGTACGCTGATGATACTCAGCTGTACATCTCCACCCCAGGCCACCCCAACGATGCCCTTGACGTGATGACCCGTTGCCTGGAGGCCGTACGGGTCTGGATGGGGAGGAACAGACTCAGACTCAACCCTTCCAAGAC